ATAGAATTAGATGATTTAAATTTAATTCAACAACTCATTGAGGGGGCCCCCAAGTCCTACCGGGGACTGCTGGGGGGCCCCCCCGTCGACGAACTCACCAGGGCCGCCTTCGATATCGTCGGTCCGCAAACCCTAAACCCTAAACCCTAAACCCTAAATCCTAAAGAGCCGAGCTGATTCGGATGCAACAGGGAGGTCCGGGGTTTGGAAGAAGCGCTTTCTTGGGCTTGATGCCTCAGGGGCTTTGCAGGGCTTTTGAATGAGGGTTTAGGGTTTAGGGTTTAGGGTTTAGGGTTTAGGGTCTATGCTTCGGGATCTAGGGTTTAGCATTTGGGGTCCGGGGTTTAATATCTAGGCCACACTTCTCAAGTTTGAGGGTTGAGGGCCTGGCGTTTAGGCTTCAGGCTTCACGCTTCAGGGTTTAGGGTTTAGGGTTTAGGGCTTAGGGTTTGGGTGCAGCGAACCAGCGGACGGGCCTGGACGTGGACCGCCTGGACTACCTGGTGCGGGACTCTGCTGCAGTCCCCTTTTTAGGGTTTCTGTTAGGGTTTTCTCCTTTGCGTTTGCTGCTGCACTCCAAAGTTATTTCTGGAGAAATCTGCTACAGCAGCAGCGAACTCCACTCCGTATTTGGAGTTTTCTTCGCCAGATACTCCCTCTTCAGTTCCGTCTACCTCCACAAAAAGGTCCCGCGAGGGTTTAGGGTTTAGGGTTTAGGGTTTGGGGTTTGGGGTTGGGGGTTAGGGGTTGGGGTGCGGGCGAGGGCCCCGCGGCAGTGCGGGAGAGGGAGTTGGCGAGGGTGGGGTTTGGGGTTTAGGGTTTAGGGTTTAGGGTTTAGGGTTTAGGGTTTGTTGTGTGTAGGTCCGGGCCATTGAGCTGATGATCGCGGAGGCTTTAAGGGAAGCAGATCCGGTCTTCAGGTGGAGCGAGGCCGTTGACGATGTAAATTAGGGTTTAGGGTTTAGGGTTTAGGGTTTGGGGTTTAGGGTTTAAGGATTGCAAATCATAAGGGATATTATAATGGAGAGTATTGTACTTTTAACGACTAGCCCATATGAAGAAAAGTGCCAGAGTAAAAGTGCGGAAATATTAAAATGTAATAAAATGAAATAAAATAAAATAGAATAAAATAAATTAAAGGATTAAATAATAAAGAATAAAAACTAGTAAAGCTAAATATAAAAGTGATAAGACAATGACCCTTCGAGCGGGGAAAGTATTACTGCAAAATGGAAAGGGCAGAAGTTGGGGAAATTTGGATGAAAAAACCCCAAATTAAGAAATAATGGAATTTAAATATATTATAAATACAAATATTATAAAATTGAGTCAACAAAAGGTGTATTTTGAATAAAACGAAGCGTAATAGTGGGGAATGGAGGTGAGCGATGGGTGAGCGGGCGCGGGCGCTCGGGTGGGAAGTTTGAGCGTGGATCTCGGGCATTTTGGCGCAAATAATGAAATTAATTAATTAATTAATTAATTAATTAATTAATATTTAATAAATAAATAAATTGTTTGTCGGCTTTTTTCGCGCAGATCGAGCAGTTTCTGCTGCTGACGGACGACAGCCTGTTGTACGAGGTGTTGAGACACCCGGTGGCCCGGGGTGTCTGTCCATACACCTCAAGTTCTCTCTCTTTTTCGGAGTTTTGCGCCTTAAAAAAAGCCCACAGTTTAATTAAAAGAGTAACTAGTCACCGCAAAAACAAAAGTATCTTCAGATTTATCAGCAACGCGAACTTTTCCCACCGCCGAGACATCAACCAAACCCGAGGTGTATGTACACCCGAACTCATTGCCCGACTCTCCAACGGCAAAATCAGCAGCCAAGATATTGTGCTCGATTGTAAGGCTTTTTTGCATTTTTAAACTTTCTTTTTCTTTTATTTTTCCAGTATTTTCCTTTAAATGCTATTTATTCATCTATTTATCATTTATTTACTCGTTTATCACCAACTTTTCTACCAACCCCTTTTCGCCCAGCACCTGTTTATCTATTTCTTTACTTGCTTATCCATTCCCCAATAATAAATAAATAATAAACTATTTATTTATTTGTTTATCTATTTATTTATTTATTTATTTATCTATTTATTTATTTGTTTGTTAATTTATTTATTTATTTGCATGCAGGGCAGCACCTGCACTACGGGACTGGCCCTCAGTCTCCTTTTTCTTGCGTTCGTTTTTATTCTTCTTCAAATCCGACTGTCTCCTTTTTGGCCCCCAGAGACAAACTCGAGGCTTACCCTCTTTACTACGACACCCACCAACTCAGGTGCTGCTGCTGCTGCTGCTGTTGCTGCTGCTGGCTGCTGCTGTTGCTACTGCTGTTGCTGCTGCTGCTGCTGTTGCTGCTGCTGCTGCTGTTCCTGTTGCTGCTGCTGTTGCTGCTGCTAATGCTGTTGGTGATGGTTCTGAACGGGGTGTTGCTGCTGATGCTGATCCCAAAGAGCTGCTATCACCGCTACTGCTGCTGATGCTGCTGCTGCTGCTGCTGCTGCTGCTGCTGCTGCAGGGTTTACTGCAAAGACAACTCCAAGGTGGAAGCAGCTCGCGAGGCCTTCAACGCCTGGTGCAAATTGTATGGCGTTTTTGAAGAGGTAAAAATAAATAAATTAAATAAATTAATTAAATAATAACTAAATATAAACAAATAAATAATAGATGAATTCTAAATTAATAGAATTATTATTTTAATTAAAGAGTTGCATGCAGCAAAAATAAGGAGCATAAAAAGAGAAAATGCAAAAAAGATTTTAAAGTGATACTATGAACAATAAATAAATGAATAATGAAGTAATGAACAATTAATAAACAAGTAGATATATACATATACATATAAATAAGAATATAAATATAAATATAAATATAAATATAAATATAAATATAAATATAAATATAAATATAAATATAAATACAAGTATAAAGATAAATATAAATATAAACATAGATATAAACATAAATATAAATATAAATATAAGGATAAATATAAATATAAATATAAATATAAGGATAAATATAAATATAAATATAAATATGACTACTAATTGCAAACAAAAATAAATATAAATAAATAAATAATAAATTTTTGAAATAATGAAATCAACAAATTTGTTTTTGTGTTTAGTCAGCCCTCCACTTTTGGTTTTTTTCTTCCCTTTTTACAATTTACAAATTACAATTGATTAATTTATTTATTTATTAATTTATTTATTAGTTCTATTTATTTATTCAATTAATTTATTTTTTATGTGTATGTTTATTTATTTGTTTTTATTTATTTATTTATTTATCATTGATTTATTTGTTTATTTATTTATTTATTTATTTATTTATTATCCATTTGTCCATTTGTTTATGCATTATTCTTGATTATTTTATTTGTTAATTTATTCTAATTAATTAACTAATTTGTTTATCTATATTTTTTTATTTACCTATTTATTTACTGTTTATCTATTCGTTTATTTATTATTATGGCTTATTTATTTTTCTAAGTAAACAAGTTAAATAAATAATTAATTAACTAATTTGTTTATTAATTTGTCCATCATTATCAATTGTTTACTTATTTATTTGTTATTGATTAATTAATTAGGTCATTTATTTATTTATTTATTTATTTATTTATTCATTTATTTGTCTTATTTATTCATCCATTTATCTATTTATTTATTTTATTTTTTTATCTGTTTGTTTATTATTTATTTATCTATTTATCTATTTATCTATTTATTTATTCATTTATTTATTTATTTGTTCGTTTGTTTGTTTATTATTTTATTTATTTATTTATTTATTTATTTGCTTTTTTCTTTGCAGCCTGAGGGGGGCCCCGCAGTAGTTCGCTTTAGCCGGGGCCCCCTGGGCCGTGGATATATAACTCCTCCGATTTACAATTTGGAGTTTTACAAAAGTAATAATAAAAATAATTATAATTATAATAATTATTATGATTATTGCAACTATTCCAATTGCTTCGGCAGCCCGGGAGCTGCTGCAGTCCGCAGCAGCAGCAGCAGCAGCAGCAGCAA